TCTGATGTACCCGGATGCCTTGTGCAAAGCATCTTCGAGGGTTTTGGTTTTTCCCGTCTTCAATCGTTCACAAAACGATGAATCATCCTTCAAATTCTTGATAAGAATGTTGAAACACAGTTCGTCCGACAGACTGCACTGGGCGACGATCGATCGGAACCGATCGATAAAATCGTGCAGCGACTCCGTGTCGCCCTGGACGCATGCCCATAGATCGAGCGCTGTGGACTCCGTGTCGATGTAGATCGAATAATGCTTCAGGAACCGAGCTGTGAGCTCCTTGAAGCTGTCGATGGAGTTCTTGGGAAGCTGTGAGAACCTGGTGAGGGCGCTTCCGGAGAGTGTCTCCACGAAGTACTGACAGAGGCATGCTTCCCGTTCCTCATCGGTGAAGCGAGCACGTCCCATGACAGCGTTGAATGCGGTCATATGTCGCTTCGGGTCTGTCGTACCGGTGTAGCTTGGAGGTAGCTTCATCCGGCCTATGTCCTTGAGAGGAGCGCTGGTGATGGCCGATGTGAACGGGGTCTGTTGGGTCTCCTGGAGGATCTTGTCCAGCTCTGGTGCTGAGGTTGTTGCCTTGTGGATCTTGCTGTGGATATCGTCAAGGCGTTGGTGGAGAAGGTCAAGCTCTGCGGCCGTCGTCGGGTCGGTACCTGCGGTATTGCGCGATGAACGAGTGTTTGAGCCTTCTGCCTGTGCTCTCTGCAGGTCGTCTGTCGGTGTCGTGCCGAACAGGTTGTTGACTAGCCTGGTCGTATCTGTGTTGCGGATCGGAGGGCGGGGAGGGGTGATTAGATCGGCCTGCTCTTGGGTATGAACTCTAGAGTTGAGAAGCCGATCTAGGTCTTCTCTGTAGGCTATCTGCTCGGCACGGAGGGATTCGAAGCGAGCATCCATCCCTTGCTGCAACTGCTCTGCGACCGACCTGATGATGGTGGCCATATCGATGGGAGGTGGCTGTGGTAGGCCGGTCGTGTTTGTGCCACCAGTCTGATCGACCTGATCTGTCCCGATGTTCCGTGCGGTAGTTGTGTTGTCTTCCTGATCGGTCTGGTGGCCCATCGGAGGTCCGGTGGCTGGGTCGACGACCAGATCCTGGGTGTTTCTTGTCGGATCGGAGGCTCCTCCGGTGAGGTCGGTAGTGTTGATCGGTGTTTCAACCATCTTCAAACTCCGTTCTAAGTCAAAGATTGCTCTTTTAATTCCCTACAGACGGCGCCAACTGTGAAAACTCAAGTTCGATCTACGAAAGAACTAGGGTTTGAGGGTTTTAAAGAGATCTTTTATTAGAAGAAGCCAGAGCTTGATAGAATACAGCGGTGTTTAGGTCGTCGGAATAAGAACGCCGACCTAAAACTCTTAAGGAAAGTAAACCAAAAGCTAAAACAGTCTGATTGCTTAGTTTGCTCTAGGTCTTGATCAATGATTTTCGGATGTTTTGAGAAGTCGAGGACTTCCTGCATTTATAGCCGATCAGGTCGGTCTTCAACCTGTTTGGAATAGGAAACTCTTGTCGGCAAGGAGTTTCCTTTTTCCCCGGATCATCAATAAATGGAAGATTTCTATTTATGTTGCCGACCTGGAACTTGTTAGACGGGCCGATTAGAATTCATATCGGACTTGTTAGAGACGACACGAATCTCATCTTTAACACTCTATTTCGCCAAACCCAAGAAAAATTGTTCTCGGTAACCACCGGAAATGCGAGTCTCCAAGCTGTGGTGGTCTGAGCTTCTCCTCATTTGCTTTAGACTTCCATTTTTTTTTTTGCAAACTTTGGACTTTTTAATAGGTCAGCAAAATAGTAAACTGATTGTATTAGTGTGTTAATGATATGTATTATTGTTATGTTTTTGCTGGTTCAAAATTTTGTTGATTTGTGAGCTTCTTATAACATAACGCTTTTTGCGTTGTTGTTATGGAAGCATAATTGATGATGAATCTACATTTTTTCAATCATATACGTCAATATACGTCTCTATCAAGCAAACACATAGTTAGAAATTTTAATTTGTTGCTGTTATTTATTATTTGAGTTTTAGTTTGGCCAAAATTTAAAACAAAGATTTTTTTTATATATTTGTTGTTATTTATTATTTGGATTTGGGGATGGTAATAAATAAAATATATTTTTTTTATTTGTTGTTATTTATTATTCTAGCTTCTGTTTGGCAAAAAAATAAAACAAATATTAACAGAGAAAAATATTTGAGTTTTTAATAGGTTTAAGTTAAATATAATAAAAGTTAATAGATGATGTATATTAATAAAATATTTTGATTGCTGTATATTTTTGCTGAGGTGTCAACTTTAAAAAGCTTGAAAAAACTAATATGTTATCTCCTCAAGAGACACTTGTATTATGTGTTATTGTTGTATTGATTATAATGACGATAAGATCAGACCAATTTGATGAAGCCAAGACCTAATTTTCATCAGACTTTATAAAGTATTTAATAGTTGAAGTGACGAATATTAAAAATAAAAACTACACTCTCCTTGATATAAAGAATCTCGTTTAATATATTTTACACCCAAAAAATCAGATAATATATATATATATATATATATATTAATTTTAGTTTGCAATAACTTGAACTCATTTGCCGTTAGCTTTGGGTGAAAAAAGTAAATCAGAGATATCTGTTATATATTTTAAATCATTTTACAATTGAAAACAACACTTTCCTCGAGATAGAAAAAATAACTTAGAAAGTTTACAGTATAATATTTGTAATGCGGGAAAGTATTTATAATTTTTTTCCTTGCTAAACTAGACTTTTCAAGGCCTGGTCGTCTATGTCCCCTCTTCTAACTACCTGTATTAATATGTGAACAATCAAGATTAGGCAAGGATGGCTGCTTATAGACTAAATCGTAGCCATTCCTTTTGGACTCGATGTGTAAAAGTAAAAACTAAAAAGCGGTCAAGAAAAGCATAAATCTATTAGTCGTTGTCTAATATTTCTACGTAAAAAGTATAATAAATTTACTTTTTTGCATGGCTAGATACGGTCTTGCTTTTATTTAAATAAAGATAATAATTAGTTTTTTTTTTTTTTTAAGATAATAATTAGTTGTTACAAAACTACTATAATTCTAATTAATGTTTGTCAGAAACAGTGGAAGCCGAACGTGGGGTAGGACGAGGGATTTATCTACACATGTGCAGTTCTCCTAAAATCAGTCGTCGCAGTTTATAAAATTTGGCAATTATGGCTTTTATATATACGAATGAAGTATTATTATTTTTTATAAAGGAAATATATGTACAGTATACAGAAAACAAATTATTATATTTATTGCCTACTGTATTCATGCTTTCCAACTACTATCAGATTTCTGGCGGCTACATTTCAAAACTTCTTTTTATGAGATATATTAGTATATACTGTATATATATAAGCGATATATATATGTAAGCACTAAATAAAGCTTTTCCCAAAAGCTTCTCTCTCTCTCTCTCTCTCTCTCTCTCTCTCTCTCTCTCTCTTAATCGTCTGTCTCTTTGAGAATTATTTTTCTTGTGATAGCATCTCTTCGAAAATTGAGTGTGTTTCTAGTTTTCCGAAAGAAAAAAAAGAGATATGAGTTTCAAATTCTCGGTCGAGAAGGTTTTGAATGTTCTTCTCTTTATCGTCATCTTCTTTGAAGTTTTTGGATCAAATGCTCAACTTTTACCCGAGGATGAAGGTGCGTATTACTTCCTTTCTTCGTTTACATTTATATTTATGTAATTTTAAATCTTCGAGTCGCTGAGTCGACTTTTCCAAGAAAATTCTTCAGATTGTTCCTTACACAGTTACACGTGACATTATAACTATACCCTTTCTTGTCTTTTTTTTGTGTGGATTTATCATACGTACCTAATTAAACTAAATTCTAAAACAAATCGTGAAGTTTGTCAAAAGGTTTTCCATTATTAACCTTTTCTTACACATATTTAAACTACGTGTGAAAAAACCACTTGCAACTAGTATTTTTTTTTGTCATGTGGTGAAGTTTTATTGAATTTCGTGGACCTACCTCAATTATTGCATCGTCGTCTCATTATATTTATATTATTCCCCCAAAAGCAAAAGAAAATGGTTGCACATAAATTACTTGGCTGAGGAAATTCTTTTTTTTTTTCTTGGCTAACAGGAACCTACACGGTTTTCAATATCCATGTCCGCACATTTTTCATTCCGTTTTTTTTTTTGATATATCTCAATTACTATTAACAACAGCTAATAAACCAAACTGATGATTACAATTTTAATCGTCCAGGCAAACAAACACATATTATAAGATCCAAAAGCCGTTCCTATTGTCGGTCAATTTGTATATGCTTGATTTATTTAAAGGAAACTTTTTGCAGTATAATCTACACATTTGGATAATACATACTTTTCTCAAAGATGTTTCTTTTTTGGGGTAAAATGTGCTGATAGAAAAAGAAAAATTAATTTATATTTTAATATGTGCTACTTGGGGGGGGGGGGGGGGGGGGGGGGGGGGTCAATGAGAGAGACGTTGTGATATTTTTTCTTCCCGTGAGACGTGAAGATAGTATACTATACTTATCTCCAAATCTAGTTCAATTAATTGGGCTTTCCTCATTTATCAAAGTTTGACTTTAAATCTCACCGTCAAAATGTTTGACCCATTTTTTTGGTACAGTTCAAACATTGCGAACGATCTTTACAAAGCTTCAAAGCCAACCAGTGAACATCGAAAGGACTTCTTGTTCAGACAGAAACTGGAACTTCAGTTCCGACCAAGCATTCCGTACTATCGCCTGTGACTGTACTGTAAATGCCACCTGTCATGTCACAAGCATGTAAGTAAAAAAAAAAAAAAGCACTCCTCTCTTGAATGTATTTGTTTCTTTCTCTGTAACTTGCGAAACAAGAAATTGACTTTCTTTCTTGATTTCATAAAACAGAAGCCTTAAAGGTTTGAGTTTGCCGGGGATTTTCCCGCCTGAATTCGGGAACCTCACACGTCTACAAGAGATGTACGTTGACCATTTTACTCAACGAAGAGTCTTTGTTTCTTGATTTTCTTTCAAGGTTTTTAAAACTTGGGACTCAAGCAATCCTTGTTTGTGTTTTTATTGTTCTTACAGCGATCTTTCTCGGAACTATCTCAACGGAACAATACCTACGACTTTGTCTCGAATCCCGCTTATGATATTGTAACCATTCTTTGCACTTTATTTTAGTTCTGGTGATGATAAAGTTGGTACTGATTCTTGCATTTTTATTGTCTGCAAACAAACAGGTCTGTAACAGGAAACCGTCTCTCTGGACTAATTCCTCCTCAAATCGGAGCAGTTACAACACTTACTGATTTGTAATGTTACAGATCTTATCTTGCGTTCTTCAGACCAAAATTGAAGAGATTCTGATATGTGAAAATGATTGCAGGAATTTGGAAGCTAATCTATTCACAGGACCACTTCCTTCAAGCCTAGGGAACTTAACAAGATTAGGACGATTGTAAGATCCTTTATTATATATACTTGTTTTTTTAGATATTGTCATTACAGTTTTTACTTAGTGATTTTTTTTTTAAATTTTTTTTTATGTTATAGGCTTCTCTCTGCAAACAACTTCACCGGTCCAATCCCTGAGTCCTTTGGCAATCTCAAGAACTTGACTGATTTGTAAGTAGACAGATTCAGTGACGATTCCAGAAAAAATCGATTTATGATTCTAAAAGCTTCCTTATGTTTCTTGTAGTCGGATTGATGGAAACTTTCTATCTGGGAAGATACCGGATTTTATTGGGAACTGGACTCGGCTCGTTAGGCTGTGAGTAAATTAATCATCATTTCTCAGATTACTCTTTCTCAAGAACACTTTTAAAATTTGTAGTGATTGAATTGTGAACTTGCAGAGATCTTCAAGGCACATCAATGGAAGGTCCAATTCCTGCTTCAATATCAAACTTAAAGAACTTGACTGAACTGTAAGTAAGCAAAGAGTTTTAACAATACCTTTTTTTTTTCTTTTTGTGCATGATCTTCCAAAATTTGTAGCTTAAAAAAAACTCTGTTTAATCAGGAGGATAACCGATTTGAATGGACCGGCCTCTTCTTTTCCAGACCTACAAAATATGACGAATATAGTACGATTGTAAGTTTAAACCTTGAGTCAGAGTTATATAATATACTCTGTTTTCATCAAACAGTATCTTAATTAACAGTCTGTTTTGCATGCTTAATTAACTTCGTTAGGGTACTAAGAAACTGTTTGATAAGAGGACCTATCCCAGATTACGTTGGTTCATTAAGTGGGCTTAAGATACTGTAAGTTGTTAAAACTCTCTCTTGCTAAATCTATTGTTTATGAAAGGCTAATAAATTGATCAACATCTCACATGTATGTGCAGAGATTTAAGCTCAAACATGTTAACTGGTCCAATTCCAGACACGTTTAGCAGTCTGAAATATGAGTACATGTAAGTTTTCAAATTATCAATATATTATTGTTAGATGATGATTAACTCGTTAATAAAAAAAAAATTGATTCTTTTTTTTTGTTATTGGTGCCTTAGGTTTCTGAGTAATAACTCATTAACAGGTCAAGTTCCTCAGTTCATCCTTGACAGTAGAGAAAGCCTGTAAGAAATTAACTTATATTACCTCGTGGTTTCTGCATAAGACCGAACAATTCTGTAATTTCTTGATCTGTTTCAGGGATTTGTCTTACAATAATTTCACTCAGCCACCTTCTGTGAGCTGTAATCAGCTTGATGTGTAAGCATTTTTGTTGTTTCATATTGAGAAATTTGATGCCTTATATAGTTTGCACGAGGAGATCTATACATATCGTATCTTTACACATATATGATCTTCACCTTAAAAAAATCTGTTTTCTAATCAGATTTGTTGGTATAAATTTTCAGGAACTTGGTCTCAAGCTACCCATCAGTAACCGATAACTCGTGAGTCTCTTTTTTTTTCCCCCTCATTTCGGTTTCATAAAACCCTAAAAACCGATGAACACAATGTCTACTTGTGTAGTGTTCAATGGTGCTTGAGAAAGGATCTTCCATGTCCAGGAGACGCAGAACGTGAGTGTATACATTTACATCTCAAACATTAAAACTTTCAATGAGTATACTCACCTCTACACCTTGAAGATTCAATCTTTCATTGTGTGTCTGCGCACATATATACCTTATAGATTCAAACTTTTCTTGCAGGTTCTTCTCTGTTCATCAACTGTGGAGGAAGTAGAGCCAAGATCGAAAAAGACACGTATGTGGAAGACTTGAACGGGAGAGGACCATCAACATTCTCCTCTGTCTCTGATTCATGGGGATACAGTAGTTCTGGAGTTTGGGTAGGCAAAGCGAATGCTACCTTTTTAGCAACAGACAGATTCAATCTGATCAATGAATCGGTTCCAGAGTATTACAAAACAGCACGTCTCTCTCCACAATCACTCAAGTACTATGGACTATGCATGAGAAGGGGAAGCTACAAAGTGCAGCTGCATTTTGCAGAGATTATGTTCTCAAATGACCAGACTTATAATAGCTTAGGGCGTCGAGTTTTCGACATTTATGTCCAAGTGAGTCTCTTTTAGATATAACTTTTATAAACAGATTGAGAAACAAAATTTTCATTCTTTCTGATGTTTTTATCTGCAGGGGAATCTGTTGGAGAGGGACTTTAACATAGCAGAGCGAGCAGGTGGAGTTGGTAAACCATTCACAAGGCAAATCGATGCGCTTCAAGTGAATGGAAGTACGTTGGAGATTCACTTGCAGTGGTCAGGTAAAGGCACAAACTTGTTACCAACAAGAGGTGTTTACGGTCCTCTCATATCTGCCATTACCATTACACCGAGTGAGTTTTTTTAATCTCTTCTCAGTTGTTTAAAAACCAGTTTTTGGAGTGAGTGAGTGAATGTTTCTTTCTATGTTTTGTTGTAGATTTCAAGGTTGATACAGGAAAGCCATTGTCCAATGGAGCTGTTGCAGGCATTGTAGTTGCAGCTTGTGCGCTTTTCGCTTTGCTTGTTGTTGTAATCCTAAGGCTTACAGGTTACTTAGGTGGAAAGGAAGAGGATGAAAATGGTAAAAGGAAACAACATCATTCTATTGTTCAAGAAACTGTCTCAAGTCATTTTCAAGATCTGATTGTTTGTGTCAAATCTCGTTTTTTGGTTTTATCAGAAGAGCTTCGGGGACTTGATTTGCAGACGGGATCGTTCACATTGAAACAAATCAAACGTGCCACTAATAACTTTGATCCAGAAAACAAGATTGGTGAAGGAGGATTTGGACCGGTTTATAAGGTGATGATCGCTTTCGTGTTTAACAAGTTATGTGAGATTTGATTGTAAAGTAAGTGCTGATGGGGTTTTGGTTGTTAGGGTGTACTCGCTGATGGAACAACCATCGCCGTGAAGCAGCTTTCGTCGAAATCAAAGCAAGGAAACAGAGAGTTTGTGACTGAGATAGGGATGATCTCTGCGTTGCAACACCCGAATCTTGTGAAGCTTTATGGTTGTTGCATCGAAGGGAAAGAGCTTCTGCTTGTGTATGAGTACTTAGAGAACAACAGTCTCGCTCGCGCTCTCTTTGGTGAGTTTCTTATCCTTCTATGTGATAAGATAGATTCACCATTCTTGATCTTTCTCCTAATGTCTCTCTCTTTGTGGTTATTTCTATCTATAACAGGTTCAGAGAAACAGAGACTTCACTTGGATTGGCCAACAAGGAACAAGATATGCATAGGGATTGCGAAAGGCTTGTCTTATCTACACGAGGAATCGAGGCTGAAGATTGTTCACAGAGACATAAAAGCCACGAATGTGCTTCTTGACCAGTCTCTAAATGCTAAGATCTCTGATTTTGGTCTAGCTAAACTCGACGAAGAAGAGAATACACATATCAGCACAAGGATTGCAGGAACAATGTGAGTCATCTTTAACTTATAAAGACTTTATCTTTTTTCTCAGGTTAACATTTACCTGACTTTTTTATATTTTACTCATTCAGAGGTTACATGGCTCCAGAGTATGCAATGAGAGGCTACTTAACAGACAAAGCAGATGTCTACAGCTTCGGTGTTGTCTGTTTAGAGATTGTTAGCGGGAAGAGCAACACGAACTACAGACCAAAAGAAGAGTTTGTCTACCTTCTTGATTGGGCTTACGTTTTGCAAGAGCAAGGGAACCTTCTAGAGCTCGTGGATATGGATCTCGGTACAAACTTCTCGAAGAAAGAAGCAAAGAGGATGTTGGAAATCGCTCTGCTCTGCACAAACCCATCTCCAACGTTGAGACCACCAATGTCATCTGTTGTAAGTATGTTAGAAGGGAAGAGCAAGGTTCAGCCTCCATTGGTGAAACGTGAAGCTGATCCAAATGGTGCAGCTGCAATGAGGTTTAAGGCCTTTGAGCTCTTATCACAAGACAGCGAGTCACAAGTTTCGACCTATGAAAGAGACAGAGAACACAAAAGCTCATCATCGTCAATGGATGGTCCTTGGGTTGACTCTTCGTTATCTGTGCAGGGCAAAGATGTTAACCTGAAACAAGAAGAAGATGAAGAGCGATCATCATCTTCCTCGAGGAAACTTTTAGATGATCTTACCGAGGTGAAGATTGAGTAGTTAATTGTTAGTATATCTTTAAGATTCTTTTATTCAAACTTTCAATTACAAAGATAACATAAAGTTTATTATGTTTTGAGATTACGACACAAGAGCAAAGATGTTAGCTTGAAAGTTCATTATCTTGGTCAAGGAAACTGTTTGGTGATCTTACCGATACTTCTTTGGGTTCTTCCTCTTGTGCGTGTGTCCTCAGTCTTCTGTCCTTGGCGGACAAGAAAAGTAAGAGTGTTTCAAAACGACGTCGCATGAGGAGGCTTCTCTTATGCATGTTAATGGGCCACAGTCTCAAAGTAAAGTCGGGCCTGATGATATCTGATTAATTCAATCACTTGCCCAACGGAAAAATTGTTCAGGTTGCAAATCACTTTGCCAGCGCCCATGAATAAAAAGCCAATTTCTTATCATTCTAAAAAGTTTTAAACTGTTAATGTTAAAACTTACAACATTATATGTTTTAGGGCGTGTATTGAAACTATGTCCCACCAGTGAGACTGGGATCTACCCTTACTTTAGCAAGTGGATTAGGGGACACCGTGATCTGCCATTGAAGCTTAACCAGTGGGTTAATGTTGTTAGGTGGTTAGACTAGCGACCCTCTTCCATTTATCAGGAGCCGTGAGTTCCTTTGGCAGGAAGGGCACACGGCTTTCGCCACCAAAGGCGAGGCCGATGAAGAGGTGTTTGATGTTTTGCAAATCTACAGCGACCGCGAGCGTGGAGGCTTTCATCCCGAGCGCCGGCCGTGGTATTCAAGCTGCGACCTCGCATTGTCTCGGACAAAACTTTGCAAAGATGTTTGACATCACATTTGAAGACAAAAAGGGACACAGATCAACTGTGTGGCAGAACCCGTGGGGTCTCAGTACCAGATCGGTAATTTACAGTCTCTTTTGTGTTGATGATCTTACTTACAAGGAGTTGCAACACAAGAGCAAAGATGTTAGCTTGCAAGAAGAAGAATGTTCATTGTCTACGACTCTTCGTCAAGGAAACTGTTAGATGATCTTACGGATGTGAAGACTGAGGAAAGCATTCCACACCTCATACAGATTCTTTTATTCAATCTTAATTTATCAACATATATAACTCATATTTTAAAACAGTTTTAAGTCGCAATAGGTTTTTATACATTTTTTTTTTCAATTTTTGTTTGATTCTGTCAAAGATTTTACAGTTCACTTTCCATTAGAGAATTTCTTTCAGCTTTGTTAGTGCCATAGTGAAAAATTATGTGTTGGATTACTGAGTCTGATTTTAGAGTGATTCTTACTTATATACAACCTTTAGTATCGTGAGGGCAAAACATTCTTTTAACGAAACCATATTCAGAACTCGAAAGCATTGTTAAGCTGGATGGAGAAAGAAGGTCGACCAACGCTTCCAAGAGGAGTATCAGCTCTAACAACTATTCCGTTTCGTCCTATGTTCCCATTCCACTTGGACCGACCAAACTGCGAAATGAAAGTCGTTAAGAACTGAAACAAGAACGGTTAGAGAAAGAAAAGAAAAAACAGAATTGGCTTACGGAAACAGATGCAAATGCTGAAGGATAAGCGGTTCGAGCGCACTCGCAGCCACATATCATATTGATGTTATCGTTCAACGAGTGAATAACCTCAGTCTTCATCCCGGGATTGTTTCCACCAAATGTAGAGCACACACTGTGTTTCCATGTTTGTGAGTTTCTTTCATCAGAAAAAAAAAAAAAAAAAAGCAGTTTGATTTGAAAAGAGAAAGGTTTTCTTACCTAAGTTGAATCGCTGGTTTCATCATGATGCCGGACTTACGCCAAGTCAAGGCTTGAGAAACACCGATTCCGAATGATTTTTCAGGCCAATTTACCATTGGCGTGATTCGTGTTCCTTGCTTAGTCTGTTTCATCAAAACAGAGTTTCAAGCTCTTGAAGATATATGAAACTGTGACTATACTTTGATCAAAGTATATACCAACCTTGCAAGAGAAACTAAACCTCATATCGCCTGGATATTGACCTTGCGCTTGAAGAAGACCGCCACATAAAGGAACAAAGACACTTGTCGTCAATCCCTCACCAGATACATACGTTAATTGTCCATTTGGGAACTGCAAATCTACAAATGACTGTTTCATGTGCAGAATTAGTTCCTACAATTTAAGAATATGTAAAGGCAAACACATGTAGGAAGCTTTTAAAAATATTAAAGACACTTACGCAAGCTAAAGGATTGAGGCAGAGCATTGACATCATAAGCCATCTTCGATGCTTTGACCACAAAGCTGGACAAAGTGAATGCATACCTTTCTGAAAAGAGACTTACCATTATGAGTATTACTCACTACAGAAGCGAAGACTAACACAAGCAACTCAATCATACATCCATTGAGACAGAAGATACTAAGATTTTTTGAGCTTTAAGCATACCTGTCTATCATATCCATACCAGAGCAAGTGTTGCTTTGATAAATGAACAGGTAAGAGGAGAGTTGAGTCGCGCAGAAACAACAGAGGTCCAAGCTGGAGAAGAAAGAGAGACGGACTATCATCTCTTGAAGATGAACTTGATGTAGTAGAAGCTTCTACTCTCCAAAGATCTCCCCTGGCTGCTAACGAATGTTCCGTACCACTTGTTCTACTGTCATAACTTGACGATATCTCAACCGTTCCCTACATTCATTAGAGCAAGAAGCAGAAACTGTAATCTGTAAACAAATGTTCACTCTTGGCAGAAAACTCAACTGTTCCAGATTCGTACTGACTAAACAAGCTATAGCTCAACCAAATCCTAGTTTCCAACGATCTCAATCAACAAGCATCTAAGTTCCAAAACTTTGCATATGGATCATACTCAATCTCTAAGAAATCTCCTTCATTCCAAATTCCCAATCCAATCGATATCTAAACAAGATAAAGCCTTGAAATTTCAGAGCTACAACATCCTAGATAACAAGTACCTTTGATCTCCCAAGTAATCCAGCGATCCTCAAATCGAATTCTGTAGCTTTCTCCTCTGTCACAGTAACAGAGGAAGCAGTATATGCCTTCGAAACCCTCGAGTCATCTTTTGTAATCGCAACTCTCTCCATAGAAACAGACGCGTCCTCGTCGTGCCGAAATGGCAAAGGCAGCCTCCTGAAGAATTGCTGAACCATCACGTTCAATCCAGCGCCGAAATCAACACCGGCTTGACCAATCTTGTTCCCGATGTCGAGAATAGCAGAGACGCCGTTGATGGGTTGGTCGACGGAGAACCTCGAATCCCTAATCGCGAATTGCTGACTGGGGAACTCGAGATCGAAAAGCTTCAGTTTCTGATGATTCGGCCATGGAAATGAAGGTGGGTTGATCTGAATCAAACCCGTAAAGCCCTGAGCAAGTCGGTCAGCTAAGTCTTGCCCATGTCGCTGAACCTCTTCCCACGCTTCCAAAGATCTTTCCACAGACATTTTTCTTCTTCAAAAGGACTAAACTTTGCAACTCCACCAAGCGTAAGAGGTAAGAAGATGAGGTTTTAGCAGTATAGCTCTAAATTGAGGAGAAGGGTGAGAAGGGAAGAGGAGAAAAGCCACAAATTTTACGATATCCTCACTGTAGTCGAGATTAGGGTTCAAGAGAGGTTCGAAAGCTGAGACCCACAAAAAAAAAAAAAGATAGGAAATTTATGTTTTTATTTTCTGGTGGAAGTTAACTAAAATCGAATCTTGGAGATGCCATGGGAATCCAAGCGAGAGGAACTTCAAAGCGAAGGAAGAGAGCTTTGAAAGAGGCACACTTATCAATCACAGTTGAATTTGATGATAGGCTTTCGTTTTCTCAGGCGAGTTTTTGTTCCTTTCCAGAAACTTTCTGTCTCAGCCAGAGGGTTCCCCTAATACTGCAGTGTTGTTTCTGTTATCATATATTGTATTCTCAATGAACAAATGTTAGTCTGGAACTGGAACAGATCAATTACGGCACAAAATCGAGACAAAAGGACAAAACACAAGTTAAGTATTCGGAATGATTCGGATCTGTAGCCTTAAAACTAAAAGCTGAAGACTCTTCTTCACAAAGAGTCTTTGTTTTAGTAGAGCTTCAATGTTGCAGGAACACTAAATTGATGTCTACTAGAAACCAAATGAAATTTGCTTTGACTTGCGATTCCACACACTTTAATCACTGTGAATCTAAAAATTGATTGATATATTCAACACTGTAAGAAGAATTAAGAAGATGGGAACGCCAATGATTAAACTTATCACAAAAAGACAAGGCAATACCAACATGCGTCCAAGAAGCTAAGATAAGTCTACATACAGGACTCTAAACACTCACTAATCAATCAACTAAAAAGGCTAAGCAAACCTAAAAGCCAACAGAAATAGGAATTCGCTAACTAACAGAGATGAGAATTTATTAGAGCAAAAACTAGCTGTATTAGAAACTTGAAACCCAAGGGACAATAATAGCATAAGAAATCCAAACAAAATTTAATAAACTCAAGGTTACGTAGCCTTGAACACATGCACTTACACAAGTGTCGTCACACTCTCTACATAGTCTACAAGAATGCTAATACAATATGAATGTTGCTTAACCTCTTGGAATCCGTGAATATCGACTCTTGTAAAAGTGTTCCTCTCCATATTGTAGAAGACAAGGTAGAAAGAAGGGCTTGATGTCCGTACGGCATAAACACAACTTGGGGTAAACACAACTTCACCTGCACCGGTCATTCCAACAATGTAACTGTACTTGTTCGGCACTTGGCATACATGTTTGGACCATTTATGCTCTCCAGCATCTTCTAGAACCCACAACACAAGCCCTTGGTCGAAAGAGCTTCTAAAACAAGGTGCACATAATTTGCCTTTGTATTTCATCAACTTTCCTCTATAACTTCCATCTAACATATCTTCATGCATCTTAATAAAGGTGAACTTCTCAGAGATAAAGTCAAAGCAAACCATCATGGGAGGTTCTTCTCGAAAGGAAGCTTCGTAATACAAAACACCATTTATGCATATTTCAGAATCACGAGAATATTGGAGTTTGCATTCCATCGTGCTTCTCCAAACACGTTTTCCAGTGCCCAATGTCAAAATCCGGGAGTATTGGGTCTTCCATAGCGTGGCTCGCATGTCCTACACAACACTTTGAACTGTTTGTTGATTGGATCATAGCCAAAATAGCTGTTTTTGATACCCGTCGCCTTCACTTGGGGTAAGGCGATCGATTGTCCAGTGACGGGGTTACAAATCACCCGCAACCTTTTTTTTCCCCATCCACGAAGACAGACCAATCCACAGAGAGTGGAACAGATTTCAGATGGAAAATATTCGGGAAAAGAGTTATAACGGGTGGCTACAAGAGAATAGTCCTCCCCATCCCGATGATTATTTTGAGGTTGAGGTGAAGAGAAGAGGAATAACTCTTCTTTATTATAATCTTCGATGACGAACAAGATCCGTGGACTAGTCAAAGACTTGATCAGAAACAGCTCAGTGAAATCAGGTAGGCGAAGACTAGTTCTCCATGATTTGGAGACACAACGAAACCTACCTATAGACTTTGTCGGAACTCTCAGGAATATTTCGATAAGGAGATCATATGGGATCGGGTCCGAGACCTTCTGCTTCCGTTTTTTCATGGCCAATTAAACCCTAGATTGATCCCTTTTCGTTAGACTTGAGACGAACGAAATTGTTTTATGGCTCTGCCTTGTCTTCGATATCTAGGTCTTTAAAAAAGAACCCCTAATATGGAACCCTGTTACCAAAGATGGACCCCCACTAGGCCCAAGATCCACTCAGCAATACATATGTTTTATACGTAAATTAATCTCCTTACAAAACCATAATCAAGGACAAAGCACAAGAAGAGTAAGTAAGAATCAGCGGTAATAGTGTGGCCACCATGAAGAATAAGTTAGTATTAGTATTGGGCTTAACTCACACCTAAAAGTTAGCTCAAGAGTTAAAAGTTGCCACATACTATTTATATTGTCTACAATACAACCAAACTATCGAGATGAGACATTGCAATACACCTCTCTCACGCTTAGGATTAGATATCTGAAACTGAAATGATGGGTATAGGCCATAATCTAAATAGTTAGAACATTTGGACTTTAATACCATATTAGTATTGCATTTAATTCATACCTAAAAGCTAGCTCAAAAGTGAAGGGCTGCCACATACTATTTATATTGTCCATAATACAACTAAACTATCAATGTGGGATATTTCGATACACCTCCCTCACACTCAGGTTTAGACATCTGAAACGTGAAATTATAGGTATGGGCCACAATATAAATAGTTGGAACCATTGAAATCTGATACCATATTAGTATTGGACATAACTTACATCCAAAAGCTAGCTAAACAGTGAAGGACTGTCACATACTATTTATATTATTCACAATACAATCAAACAATATTCCAATAGTCAAATGTATGTTTTCCCGTCAGCTTCCTCATTGATGAATCGATTTGATTTTTGTGGCTTTAGGATCTAAACGTTTTGCGTGTGAAATTTTTTGGTTTGGTTTTGGATCCTTATATTTGAATGTTGTTATACATGAATCGTGTGGATGGGATTGGATTGAAGATCCCATCATCTTGATCAACGGCTGTGATATGAATAATAGGATGATGATGAAAGCTTTTAGAATTTGTGTTGACATGTATCAAGTTCCTTTTGTAATGATGCTTTGAATTCTTGGAGCATTGAGATATCATTTCTTCTGTAGGTAAGATCGGTAAGATCATTGGGAATGGATTCTAACTATCATAAATGTTACCTTGTTTATAACATAGTTTCTCCATTCTGAGACTTCAAGAACCAAGATTGTCAAAATTCGTCCTGGTTTCCTGTTTCTTGAAAGTTGACTAGTAGAAATTAACTGGCTATTTTGTCCAAGTCGTTTTTAATTTCTGAATCTTGTTGGTACTTTTGGTTTATGAACAATCTCTCTAGTAACTCTGTTTCAGTTACGTGGACAGCAAGGAAGCATTAACGCAAACACAACACAACACAACAGAGACAGCTTGAAGAGAGAGAGAGTTTAAACTACCTTTACAATCTTAGGCGCAAGGATCAGAGAATATGAGCTGAGCTCTTGAAGATGATTTACATGTCTTGTCCCATGCTAAATGATAAAAACAGCTGTGTTGTAGGTACAAATCTAGACTTTGTCCGGGTATATGATCGGTTATGTGTAACTTGGAATGTTGCATTCAAACATAGAGAGATGAGGTCAGATTTGGTTGGATAGTCAGAGACCACATGAAGAAAAGACCACAAGGCTGAAACTGAAGCTATGTCAATGAAATTATATGTTGCAGATTTGCAATAATACAGATCATCAGTGATAGCCATTAGTTAGTTAAACTAAATCAACAGCGAAGACTCTTTTCTTTTATCTAAAGGATTTGAGTATTCATATTCATTTTCTGTACGTAACAAGAAGATAGGAACGCCAAGGATCACGTTGATCATATGTGATGAGAATTTTTAGAGCAAAAAAATAGCTTTATTATAATAAAGTTGAATTCCGTACAATAATATCATAAGTAGTGAAATCCAAAATTTCAAAAGTCACGAGTTATGAAACACAGTTACATAGGTGTCATATTCTCTACATTTCCTTGTTTTCTGTTTCTTGAAAGTTGACTAGTAGTAACTGACTATTTTGTCCAAGTCGTTTAGTTTCTGAATCTTGTTGGTACTTTTGGTTTATGAACAATCTCTCTTGTTCCTGAGATGCACTATGCGTTAGCTGTGTTACTTAATTAGTAGCTAGACCACGGAGAGAAATGAAAATCAACTTGCATCTTCCGTGAAGAATCTGGTTTCTTAGAAAGAAAAAAAAAACAAAATAATTTAATCAAAGAATACAAAAAACTTTAATCCATTGCTTGTGAGCAACGTAAAGTATATGAGAAACGCCCCTTTTAACGCAATTGCTTGAGTACATACCTAATAATTAGTAAAAGCCAATTCTCAGTTTTTGAGATTCCAACTTAAATCCTTTCACACAAACACAAATCCTACAATTTTTACATCCCTTATTAATCATCCAACGGCAACAACCAAAAGAAAAATAGAATTTAATCAACTAAAAAGGCTAAGCCAACATAAATATGAAAGATCATGCGATGAGAATTTATTAGAGCAAAAACTAGCTGTATTATAAAAACTTGAAATCCATACAATCTTAACTAAGAGGAACAATGCAATAAAATAGCATAAGAGTTGAAATCCAAAATTGATTAGTCTCAAGGTTACGTAGCCTTGAACACATGCACTTACACAAGTGTCGTCATAGTCTCAACATAGTCTAGAAGGATGCTCTTACGATATGAATATTGATTAAACTTTGGTAATCCGTGAATATTGACTCTTGTAAAAGTGTTCCTCTCCATATTGTAGAAGACAAGGTAGTAAGGGCTTGATGAGTCT